ACAAAGGAACTTTCCCTCCAATCCCATTGCAATGCAGAATAAAGCAGTCCCAAGAGGGACCCAATATGATAGGTATTCTCTGAATATGCTTAACAGAGCCTGTGACAGACTCAAGCCCTTCGCAGAAATGTAGTCATCATTGCTATTTTATTATTGAGCTTTGGACAGAAGAGGTAGTGGTGGTGATGGTACCACAGCCAATCTTTTATATAGCAGCCTCATCATTAGATAATTAATTCTGCAAGATTCATGTGACCAGGACAGCAAGACTATGTAGCCAAGGAGTCAAGAAACTACACTGGATTAAAGCAGTTCTGGGTGTTGGTCTCTGCCTCCAGAACTACTGAAACAATTTTACATTAAATATGAATTGAATAAAAAAATTAAAAAGGAAACTACTTGGTCAGCAGGGACTGGAGCCTGAGACTCCTTACCCATTACAGTCCCATTCCTTCTTATGTTCTTTCCTGGCCAGTGAATCTTGCATTCCGTTCTCCACAGCAGTGCAGCTTCAACAGGAGAGGTGGAGACTGCTCTGGCCTAGCCTAGCCTGTAAATGCTTAGGGGTGGTTAGGCAGACAAGGTTTTTTGGGTAAATCCAATATCTTTTATTTAGACCAACTAAAACAGTTGCAAAAAATCTTTTTTGCAAGCATTTGGGTACAAACACCCTTCTTCAGGCAGAGGAAGCATCTGCAGTTGTTTTGTGCTCTTCCTGGGTGGGATAGAAATTAGACGCCAGTATGCATGAATGCCAGTCAGTAAAAATGCAAATGTGTGGCAGACAAACTTGAAGATTTCACTGTACACCCCCACTTGTGGCAGGCTGGGCAACTCCCTTCTCATCAGTGCAGAGGCAGAAAAGGATCTTGGAGTCATTATTGATGCCAAAATGAACATGGGCCAACAGTGCAGGGATGCAGTCAGGAAGACCAACCACACTTTATCATGTATCCACAGATGCATCTCAAGCAGGTCCAAGGAGGTGATCCTCCCCCTCTATGCAACACTGGTCAGGCTGCAGTTGGAGTACTGCATCCAGTTCTGGGCGCTGCACTTCAGGAGGGATGTGGACAACATTGAGAGGGTCCAGAGGAGGGCCACCCGCATGATCAGGGGTCAGCAGGGCAGGCACTACAAGGAGAGGCTAAGGGACCTGAACCTGTTCAGCCTCCACAAGAGAAGGCTGCAGGGGGATCTAGTGGCCTGTTACAAACTAGTCAGGGGGGACCAGCAGGCATTGGGAGAGTCCCTGGTCCCCAGAACACTACCAGGAGTGACAAGAAATAATGGTCACAAGCTGGCAGAGGGTAGATTCAGGCTAGATATCAGGAGGCACTACTTCACTGTCAGGGTGGCTAGGATCTGGAACCAACTTCCAAGAGAAGTGGTGCAGGATCCTACCCTGGGGGTCTTTAAGAGGAGACTGGATGATCTGCCAGGGCAGGGGGTCAGACTTGATGATCTGCTCAGGTCCCTTCCGACCCTACCAACCATGAAACTATGAAACTATGGGTGAGAAACAGGTGGGGGGGAAGGGAAATAGTGACCTAGGGATAAAATGTAGCTGGTAAATTGTAGAGAGATTACCTGGGTTATCAGATGTAAGGCAGGTTATAATGTGCCATAAATCCAATGTCTATATGTAGTCCATGATTTTTTGTATCCAGTAGGTTGATGAAGTGACGTTCGTAGGCTTATCTGCGAAAGGTGTTTTGTAAATTCCCTTTGAGGATTAGAACTGAGAGATTGGAGAGAAAGTAGTTATCTTGTGAGAAATGTGCCCCCACAGGTAACTGGACGTTTTTATGGGTGGTTAAAATAGTCTCTTGAGAGGCAGGAGGTATGCAGTTTGAATCCTCTTAGGCTGTGGACATTACTGGACCGAGGTCTCCCACTGCCTGAGTGGATGCTCTAATACTAGGCTATTACATAAAAGGTCAATTTCACCCCTACCTACTGTATCTGGTTTTTAAAAGAAAATAATGAGGACTTCTCAGTTCTTTAAAAGAACCGATGTAAGCAGCAACCCTCAGAGAAGGGCTCTGACACGCCACTTTCTTCCTGCCCCCGACACTAGAAGATGGAAAAGGCAGATTAGGCCAGGTAGGGACTTTAAATGTCATCTATTACAACCCAGGTAAGTGCCTCACTGCTAGGCACTTGTTTCTTCTGGCTATTCTGGGGTAGCATTCTCTCTCTCTCTCTCTGGTTTTCATTTAAAAACATGGAAGGGTATCTTCTTCTCTGGCATGCAGCAAAAAAACCATTTGAAATCTGGAAACATTTTTGAAAAATGGGAAAGTCGCTTTTTGTGCAGCTCTACTTGATGTACAATGAATTCAGAGTTGATCAGGCTTTCTCTTTTTTCTTTGTCATATACTATGAATGGAATAATTCTTTACCTACCTTCTTTGTGTATTTTTGAAAATCACAGTCCAGCAGTAACATTAGAAAATCTGCTCTCTTATTCCATGTTTTTCAGACTGCTTTTGGGGGATCAGACTTTTTGCTGTGTCCCATAGGACCGCAGTAATCCACTGGTGCTCCTGAAAAAACAAAACCAAATAAGGATGGCATTAGCCCACATGGGAAAAGGTGATAGTATGTATTTTGCAAATGCATTTTGTCAAATCCCTATCTTCCTACTTGTGTCATTTGCCAAAACTGTCAGAAGAAGTGATGCACATTTTAAAAAGAAGAATGTGCTGCTTATGTGAGGAGGGAACTTTCTGAAGGTTTGAAGAACATGGCTACATATTTGTACAACACCAAACACAATGAGGTGGTGGTCCACAACTAGGTCTTCAAGCTGCTACTAAGACACAGGTACTAGTAATACTAATTTATGGATGCTGAGGCTCTCAAACAGTATCAGATTGATTGATCGATTTATTTGCCATCCTTCCCCTGGCCCTGCCCAATTCCATTTGCTCACTGTCAATGGGCTTGATCTTCTTTCCCACATTGTTTCACATCAGGAGGATGCCATTGACTTCAGCAGCCTTGGTCTCTATTTCTCTGTTTTAAGATTGTAACTGAATCAGAAAAAAAGTTAAGCTGACTACCAAAGAAACCTGTTACATAAACATATCTCCTAGTAACAGTAGAATTATCCATTATGGCCTATCCTAACAATCAATGAAGTCATTGGAATTCTGCAGGTTTCCATGGGTTGACACTGGACATTGTTCCAGTAAGCTCTGCTTGAAAAAGGCTAAAGATCTTGTAAGACCAGATATTAAGAATATAACTTTTTTGTGTTCTTTGTGTCAGCTTCAAAAATGCGCCAAAAGGCTTTGGGGAAAGGAGAGGGAAGTCCTGAGCTCACTGAATTGGACAATGAAGAGGCAGAAATAAGCAACACATTACAGTGTCTTGAAAACAAAGATCAGGTATAAACATTTTCTATGCAGTGCAACAACAGGTCTTACATGAAGCAACTTCTCTTTAATAAACTAATTTCTCTCTTTACCTGTCGCCTATGATTCATTCTTCCCTCATCTATTAATTCCAAATGATTTAGTCTCTTTCCATCTCAGCGTTCCCTTACAGTTTGATCACTTTCCTTCCGAACTGTCCCATTAATCAAAATAATGGGAGTCATTTTATTTTAATCCACAGAATTTGTTATATCAGAAGCTAGTAAATCCTTGCTTTCTCACATCTGCCCATTTCACCTTTCTTTTTCCTATTCTCCTTGCAGTTGTCTCTGGAGCACCAGTTTCACACTTGGATAAATCTGGAGAGAAAAATCAATGCTGTCACCCATCTGAATAATGACCTAGCCCAGAGGCTGATTGATATCACTTCCAACAATTTCATCCAGGTAAATGCATAAGATAAAGAAGAGGAAAAAATACTTTAAACTAAATCTGGAACACCATATTTGAATCTAAGCTTCATGCTTTCTCTCTAGGTAACAATACCATGTCAAGAAGCAAAAGAATAGTTGTTTGTATTGTTGGGATGTCATTTGACATGCACATGTGCTTACATGACTTGAAAATTTATCAGATTCCATGACCTAAGCATATTCAGACCTGAGCAGTAACTAAAAGAAACGATTCCAAATCTCTGTGACTCTCTCCGAAATTCCAGTGCTTGTCTTATTTTCCAATAAGAGTTGGAATGGTAATTAATCTGTCGAGAATAATTTTTCATGTGTACTTTTGTGTGTATCTAATGTCACCTGAATGTCTTTGTTCTGATGCAGGAGCTAGAAGAGGAACTGGAGAAAGCTGCCATTGGCGTTTTGGTGGCCACTGCAAAGCACTGCCCAGAAATTGTCTTGGCTAATCTACAGGAGCGGATCCAACCAAAAGCTCTGCCCCACCACAGCATCCTCTGTGCTATGGTGAAACTCTGCCAACTCAAAGGTACCATTTCCCTCTATTTCCTGCAAAGTAGTTTTTTTTTAACTTTGGCAAGTATTTGATGTCATTTTCTGTAGAACCGGTTTGACCCTGTTAAATAGGTATGAGTTGAGATTTTCCTTTGTGCCCTTCTGATCCTCACACTATTGGCTGGTCTGATTGAATTTTTTCAGTTTTTCAATGGAAAATGGGGGACGGGTTGCTTTTTGTAAAAATGTGTCTGTTCTCCATGGAAAATTTCAGGTCTTTTCATCAAAATATTTCAGCCAAAAACTGTTCTGGGGGGGGGTTCTTGGCCAAAACTTAGAATTGTAATACCTCGTGTTAGTTGTAGTTTGTTCCTCATATCCTCATTCTCCATCACACTCATATTCACACTCATATTCTCACACAGCATCTCTGTGTTATGAGGCTGGGTAGAAAAAGTAATCTTTTCCTTCAGCAGATCTCCCTTTGTTCTGTATGTGGCTGTCAGAATTGGCCCCTGAGGAACAGAAAGCAACTAGTCAGCTAGAAACAAAGTTGAGTGCATTTTCCTTTCCTGTGTTCCAGCCATGGCTCCTTATTTTGGTGCAATGTGGGACTGTGTCCTGCCAGTCTTGCCTCTGGTCCAGTCAAAGGAATATGTGCTGCTGTTCTGTGATGGTGAGCATTTCATGATTCCTCATATTTAGTTTTGCTGGCATATGCTCACTCACAAGCCTGACTCTCACTTCCCACAGATGTTATCCTTGAGTAAAAGGAATGCTGTTCTAGTTAGCTGTTCCCTTACCAAGTCATACCCAACTGACTCCAGATTAGATTCAGAGATGTAGAGAAAAGGGGCCAGGTGTCGTTGGGATTTTACAGAACATGCACACATGATCAGAAAATACATGATCCTGCTTTCCAGGCAAAAGAAGGTTATTTGGGTTCAACTTTAGGACCCTGTGACAGAGGGCCGCCTTAAGGCCATGACATTGGCCTGCCCAACTGTCCAGGGCATTTTGCCCTGCCTTGCCTGCTGGCAGGCGCCTTCAATGTTTCCAAAACATTGTGTTTATATGTAGGAGGGTTCCCTAACTGTGGCCCTGGTGTACTGGGCCAAATGCATAGCTTTGACCCTCCCCTACATCGTTTCCCATGCCTTGCAGATGGCATTTAAACTGTTGACAACTCCAGCCCCTTGCCAGGCCGAACTCTGCCCCTTACTGGACTGCTAACATTCTGCCCTTTGCCAGGCCTCAATCACTCTGCCCACCCCTGGGCTTCACCCATTCCACCCTACTTTGTGCAGCCCTTCAGGACCCATCCTGGCCCGGTCCTTTGGGTTTCATCACTCACACACTCTGGCCAGCCTACACACAGTCCTTCAGGCCACCCACAGGCCCTACTCTACGTGGCCTCCAGATTTCTGCCCCACACCAGGCCCAACTCAGCCTCTAGCCCCTTTCTGGGCCACTACTCTGCCGCTCACTGGGCTCCTGGACCTTATGCCCCTTGGACCCACTCAGTGGGCTTTGGCCCCTGTCTCAGGCCCCACTCTATGGGCCTGGATCCTATGCTTTTCTGTCAGGGTGTACTCCACTAGACTTTCTCCTCCATGGGGTACCCAAAAGTCAGTGGGGACTTAGGCTTTCCAGCACCCCATCCTCACCTTTTGCTAGGGAAGTACATCTGTAGCTTTTCCTGGAGACTGCCCTCCCATAGGCAGCCCCACCCCACCATCCAACCCCAGCAGGGTGCAGTTTCAGGTCTTACCCAGGACCCACAGGAACCTCCTTCATCCCCATAGTTCCTGCCCTGACCTCCAGGTGTTCTGGGAGCTGCTGTCCTCAGGCTGTGCAACATTGCTCCACTGGCTCCCTAGATGTAACTGCTGGCTCAGCTTCTAGGGCCTGGACTTATACCCTGGTTGCCTAGCCCTCCTCCAATCGGGGGCGGGGTCCCCTTGCAGTCATGTGACCACCTACTTGGGCTAACCACACCTGCCAGCGGCTCCACAGGCTGCTTTCACCCCTTAAAGTGGTGGGCACCAAAGGTGCTCTGCCACCACCCTTTTTCACATTGGTTCAACCTGATGAAGCTACAGAGGCTGCTTTCCCAAGTAGGTGCCTTTCCAGTAAAGGTACCTAAAATGAGGTTCTTACTGATTCAGTTTTGTTCTGTAATCTGTATGTTAACTTTCCACACAAAACAGTTGGAATGCTCCATTGTTTTCCCTTCATTTTCTAATTCCTTTGAGATTAAAGCTCAACACAGCATGTGAAGTCCTAGATCGGTGAAACACATATACAAAGCTGGGTATTAGTTCTCAGAGTTGCCAGGTATTTTTTCTCTTTGGTGCCTAATGACTGTGCCCCATTTCTAGTCTGTGATCAGTTTATATCTCTCTCTATATAGAGATATAAATATAAATGTATCTGAGATCCCAGGCAGAGATTAGAGGTAGTAGCTAGGGATTCTTCAGAGACTGTTATCTGACCAAACAGAATGTATATACAATATGTTTTTTGTTTCTATTACGGATGCAGCAGAGCTGTCTAAAATGATACTGATTATTATTAGCTGTGGAATAACATCAAATCCTTTGGTTCTCTATGTAGTATTAAGACACCTGGCCAGTTCTGTCTCCAGGTACTTAGCAGAGCCATCACAGGAAGTTGGGGAGCTGGACATTACTAGAGACACTGCAGCTGCCCAAGCCCATGTGACATTTCTAGTGCTCTTCAACAATTGGTTTCCAAGTGCCCAGGGAAAGGTGAGTGGAGGAAAACATGGGCAACAAGAACCCTTTAGTAGAATTTGGATCTGAAAGGTGTCTGATGCTAGCCCTACAGAAAAAAAACCCTCTATTTATCTGTAGCACAGAGGAAGCACAGTTACACCATGACTGATACCAGGTGTCAGGGCCTGCTTTCTTTCTCTGTCCCTTTCACTCTCTCTCTCTCTCTCTGAAAACATGCCTTTCTTTTGATGTGGACCACTTGGGCTAAACATTAGCCATGTCACCCAGCCCACAGGGCTTTGCACAGGTCTAGAAATTTGATGACAGGGGAGCAGTGGCTGTGTTAATTTCCACAACTCTGGAAGCTCTGGATAGTGTCAGCATGCAGGGTCATACCATGGTCAGATTGGGCATGCGGGGCTGGGCTGGCCTGTAAAATTGCATCCATGCAGAGGCCACAGAACAGGGTGGGCCACCTGGGCCATGGCCCAACCAATGTTTAGCACGGCAGTTCTTAGCATGAGCAGGGCCCGGCCCATTGGCTTCAGGGGGCTGTCACTCTTCTGTCCTGGCAGGGCTGCAGGCAGCAGAGCGTGGCTGCTATTGCACATGTGAGGGAGGGAGGGAGGCAGGCAGGGAGCGCAGCTGTGTTTAAATCGCCATGCTAAACATTGGTCGGGCCATGGCCTCTGCACCCATGGACTGACTCTACCCGCAAACCAAACCCATCTGTGGGACCTAGCTTGTAGACTGGCCCTCTGCCACTCATCTGGACCTGATCTAAAAGAATGCACCATAAGAGAAGAAAGCAGCATGTGAAGTGAGGCAGGCTAAGACAAGACACTTTTCTGGCACTGCTGACTTACTCCTGGCCTGTAAGAATTGATCTTTCCTTTTTTTAGAATAATACATTACATTTCTAGATTTTCAAGTTGTGAAGCAAAATTTCCATTTAGGATCCAATGTAGGTGATTGGGTTCACATGATGGCAAGCAGCTTGAAACAATACTTCTGAAAAGGTTTTCACTATCCTTTTTTCCTTACTGAGGCATTATTTCTGCAGCCTATCCTGACATTTCAAATGTCAGTCTTGTTAATTTAATTAAGTTTAATTTCATGGCTCATTGTTCTAGCAGAAGCATCTAAATACCATCATCAAGTATAATCAGACTATAAGCAACACAAGTCTATAATTAACATTGATGAACACTTTCCCTTATAAGAGACAGTTTTAGTTGCTTATAACTTTGCCCAACTTTAAGTATTTGGTTATGTCAATTATCTGCCTCAGGGTGAATTTTTTGTACTATTATTAATATTGCAGCAAAAAATTACTCCATACACTTCCTAAACCAAATTTAGAGAAAAATATGCTATTTGTCCATGTCCACTAGTATAAGTGTTTCATTGAGAAGCTCTGAAGGCTCTCTGATGTGGAGCAGAGATTTGATCTGATGTTAGGTACTTATTCTGGGGAATTTTACTTAAAGTTGACTAAGTTTCCCTATGGAAATCTCAGTAGAGACTTGTTAGAGTTTGGCAACTAACTTTCGGGGAAATTCTGTCCTCCCTGGGCATGTCTATATGCACACCCCACTGTACAGTTGGTACTGCACAGTCATGTAGTACTTGCTTTAGCTTGCTTTAGCAAGTACTAAATGACTGCTCAGTGCCCGCCGGTACTTCACAGTCCCGGCAGCGCACAGGTTGTTTCTGACCTTACTGTACAGTAGCGGCAATGTCATGGTTAGTGCCCATCTCATATAGACATGCCCCCTGAGCATGCCCCATCCTGAGAGGACTTTGTATGTTCCATCCCTCACAGAGTGACTAAGTGTGCTCCAGCTCAGCAGTGCAGGTACAGGGGTTGAGCAGGACTTGTATGGCTTGTATGTTTTGTGTGGGTTACACATGCATATGTGTGCACACGTGTGTATGGTTGCATATCCATGTGTGCCTGCACTAAGAGGATGCCCTCCTGGACTGTGGAGGCACATGTGTCATTCTTCATCCATCTAGGGTGCAGACAGAAGTGCAGCTCCCAGCTATAACTCAGAACAATTTCTGCAAAGCATTCTGAGTTATAATGTTACACAAGACCAAACCTCTGCCCTACCCTCTGGGGGCGGGGCTGAAGAAACCCCAGAGTGAACTCCTTCCACTCCTTCCATTCTGAAAACAGAGATGGGCTGGGAGCTCTGCAGACACAAGTTATAAAAAATGCTACATTTTTAAATTACTTTATCTGATACCTCATGCAATGAGGGGTCAGAGTTTCACCCAATCAGCCATTCCTTCAGGCAGCCAGGAGAAGCTGGAACTGAGCATGGAGCTGGCCTCTCACGCACTCTGTATTCTCCCCTTGCTAGTACAAACATAGTGTGGAGGAGAAGGATGAAGAGGCCTGACTTGGAAGCATGGGAATGAGGGGCCAGGCCTGGAAAATACTGAATTGGTGTGGCTGCAAATACCATTGAGAACACAAAAATAATGCTAAGTGACCTAAAGAAGTTAATATTTGGGCAGAAAATGACAAAATCAACACTTGGTTAAGAAAAATATACGCTAACATGCATTGAGGGGGAGGGAAATATGCTGAAATGTAGTGAAAGAGTAATGTCAAAATAAGTACAAATTAGGAATGAGTTAAAACTGCCAGGGTCCAGTAAGCCAATGTGACTTGGCATTGGATACAGAATCATCACATCATAGGCCTAGGAAGTGACAGGACTTCTCCATTAAGTTAATAATTCTGTAGCAACAGATGTGTCTGGGTACATCACAGTGTGCAGATTTGTGAACATTTTGTTAGCTATGCTGTATCTCACCACATGTGCGTTCATTTCCTGTCTCTTCTCCCTAAGCAGGTGATGGAAGCCACACTGAATGCAATTACCCCGCTGTTTTTTATCATGTCTGTTCAGACGTTGAAAAATCATCTCCAGTATTTGATAACAGGGCTCCTGCATCTGTATGAAACTGGACTACCCCATTTTTACATCACAGAGGTGAGGGTTCTCAGGATGTGTCTATGACCAGTGGGCAGAGAAGGTGTTAGTTTGGTTCTGTAGCATTGAAGAGCGCTGTCCACAGTTTCCAATCTGTGGAGACATCCTGATTCCCAGCCTAAACTATGTATAGATGGACCTGAACTGGGACAACATGATATGCAATAGGGCTGTGCAAAATGGCACCATTCCTTTTTGACTTGCGTTTCGATGGAATAGCATTTCGTTTTGAATTTCGTTTAAATTCGAAACCGCTGTTCCGTTTTGTTTTGTCAAAACAGTTTTGCTGTTTCAACACTGTTTTGATGTTTTGCCCATAGGCTATAATGGGGAAGCTCAAAACAGCCTATAACTTTGTCATTTCTGGCCTGATTTGGATGAATCTTGCAGGAGTGGTATCCCCTTCTGAGGGCATGAAGCCTGCCAAGTTTCAAGGAGATAGGTGCAGGGGTTTCAGGTAAATTGCACCTCAAAGTCTTGAAAGCAAAAAACTCATGTCACATGTACATGTTAAGCCACAGCGGGGTCAAAACTTCAGGCTTGCTAGCCCCTGCTGAGGCAATGAAGCCTGCCAAGTTTCAAGGAGATAGGTGCAGGGGTTTGGGGGAAACTGCACCTCAAGCTGCAGACAAGCAAAACTTGTGACATGGGTGACACTGTGTGTGTTAAGGTGCAAGAAGGTGAAAACTGCAAGCCTGCTGTCCCCTGCTGAGGCCACAAAGCCTGCCAGCTGTCAAGGAGATAGGTGCAGGGCTTCTGAGCTCTGGGGCCCTGCACCTCTAACTGCTGACAGGCAAAACTCGTGACATGGGTGGTTGGGGGACTGTGTCTGTCTTGGAGCACAGGGGGTGAAAACTGCAGGCCTGCTAGGCCCTGCTGCAGCCATGAAGCCTGCCAGCTATCAAGGGGATTGGTGCAGGGGGAGTTTGGGTTCTGGGGCCCTGCACCTCTAACTGCTGACAGGCAAAACTCGTGACATGGGTGGGTGACACTGTGTATGTGTTAAGGTGCGCTCTCACTCAACTGACACCAAGGCACAAAGCAGGGGAGTTCAAATAGTGCTGCCATTTATGCAGTTTTTCCATCCATCCCCAGAGCACTGGGATTGGAAGAGACCTCAGGGAAGGATGACAGTCACTGGCCAGCTACACAGTCAATAATGAGAGCAGTTCTTCCCCCACTTCCCCCTCCCTCTCTTTACTTTAGTTTCTGTTTCCCCGCAGGCAAACCCAGTTGAGCTTCGAAACTTTAAATGTTTAGAAATTTTCGAAACGTTTTGACTTGCCTCGTTTCGTTTCAAGGCTGTTTCGAAGCTCTCTGCTTCATTTTGATTTTGCTGTTTCAAGCTCAAAACGAGTCGAAATAGCAGTGAAACAAAACTGCCAGTGAAATTTCGCATACCCCTAATATGCAAGCATCTACTCTGGATACATTCAAGAAATGTCTGGATACTCATCTTGCTGGGGTCATCCGACCCCATCTGACTTCTTGCCCTTTGGGCAGGGGGCTGGACCTGATGATCTCGCGAGGTCCCTTTCAACCCTAATGTCTATGAAATCTATGAAATATCAAGGGTCTGGAAGATCTGAGAAACTGATTAAAAGTCAAAAGAAGTCCCTTAGAAGAAGACTCAGCCAGGTGACACACAAGACCAATCGCAAATAATGAAAAGTGACAGTTCAGAACTAGATTCTAGGACCTTCGTATCATAAAATAAATAAGTAGCTAAAAAAATGAGACAGATTCAGCCACTGACATGCTGTATGGGACATGTACTGTAACTAGAAAAAGAATTTCAAAAGATGACCGTTTCAGGAGCTAATTCTTTATTACTCTGCACTTCTTTCCGCAGTGTCTATGTGCCCTTCTAGACAGTGTACTGAGCTACAGAAAATGGAGTAAGAGGCTTCACTACAGTCTGGACAGCATTCTCAGTGCTCTTTTTGCGCAGGTAAGGAGACTGATGCCAAATGGGTAGGACATGATGCCACTTTCCTCTGCCCTGTCTCTTTGTGCAGAGATTTTAAAGAACAATGAAAAAAAGCAAACATTTCCATAGGAGGCTGTCCAAACTGAAATTATAAGATGTCTTTATTTCCCTGTTTCATTGCATCTGTAATCCTTCATCCAGTCAACAACTGGTAGCAATGAGGACTGGGTTCAAATTTTGGTGTACCCAATAAGATTTCACTGTGGAAACCCAATAAGTTTTCACCCCCACGCAGAAATCTGGGATCACTGAATTTGGCTGGGGTGTCCTGCATAACAGAACCTCCTCCTTGCAAGCAGTATAAACACAAAAGGACAGATTTATTACAGAAAACAAAGGTCAGAGAAAACAAAGAAAACACCAAATGCAATTTGAAACACTACCAATTACAAGGCACAGTCTATAGGTCTATAGGGCTTCACCCATGCCTAGGCAAGCTGGGACTTGGGGGCTCCGCAAAGGGTAGTTCTGGGGGTTGCATCCCTATATTTGCCCTTCAGCAATAGGATGGACAGATGGGCCCACACCAGAGCGTCTTATGAGCTGCTCCTTAGGGTTTGAGGCAACTTGCAGAGTGGCTAGAGAGTGTAGGTTCTTCTGCAGTGCAAGGTGTCCCTCGTTGCTCCCTGCCCATTTGTAGAGCACTGATCTCAGTTTCTATTTGGTGGCTTTGAGAGGATGACTTGTGGCTTCAGTCAGCACATGCAACTCTCAAAATTTCTAGTCTCAACCCCCAACCCTGCTGGGACAGAAAACTGCAAAAGAACTCAAGGGGAGCCCGACCTATCCTGGTCCAGGCCTGAACATACAGAGGGGCTCAGCTACTCAGCTAAGCTGAGACACAACAGCGGTAAAACAATAAAAGGGGGAAACAGGCCTCTTTGCACTGGGCCTGGACTAAGCAACAAAAATGGATCAGGGCATTCTGCACTGGGCCTGGGCTTGGCAACAAAATGTACCCAGTCCGTCACCCTGGTCCAACACGTGCCAGGTCTCACCCTGGTCCAAGCTGTGCCAGGCACCACCTTGGCCCAAAGTGTGCCAGGCTTTTAATCCTGGACTTAATCTGCCAGCAAAACCACAAAGCTCCAACCCTGGCCATTGTCCTGGATGGATTAATACCCCCATGGTATTATCCCACTCAAACCCCGGGAAAACCAAAGGAGACAGAAGAGGAAGGAAATAGAGGTCTCAAACTCTTGAGACCGTCTTTCTCTCCCTGGATCTGAGTCTTTCCCTTTACATAGCTTCAGTAAGCCTCTCCAGTGAAGGATGGGGGAGAGACCTCCCCCATGGGGGAGCGGTTTCTCCAGCTCCCAATTCAGCTTTGCAACTCTTAGCAGCCCCAGGAGAAAGAGAGCTTATTGAGGTTGAGAGGTTCCCATGTACCTGGCATAACATCACCCAAGCTTTTCCAATGAAGGCTTGCCCTGCCCCCAGCCTTTCTCTCAACTAATTAATTTTAAAAGAACATTGCTCAGTTTTAGGGGTCTGATCTCTTTCCTTATGTAACTGAACTCCATGCTCTCTTGTTTACAGTAAACAGCAGGGTATATTCTTAGACAAAAAGCCCGACAAAGGGGGCTTTCCTGCCTACACGCAGACAGCCCTGCTTATTTCCAGACTACCAAAGCAGGGTACTTAAATATAGAAAACAATGCATTACAATACTTGCTGTACAAATTAGACACAACAATACATAATTATATTTCAACTAGAACACTTTGGCAGTACAAAATGACTTGTGTGTTTTGTGTAGGCTACATATGTATATGTGTGTGCACACATGTGCATATGGATGCATATGCATGTGTGTGTGCACTGAGAGGATGCCCTCCTGGACTGTGCAGGCACGTGTGTCATTCTTCATCCATCTAGGGTGCAGACAGAAGTGCAGCTCCCAGCTATAACTCAGAACAATTTCTGCAAAGCATTCTGAGTTATAACGTTACACCAAACCAAACAGAAGTACCTCAGTCCCACCCTCTGTGGGGGCTGAAGAAACCCCAGAATTAACTCTTTCCACTCCTTCCATTCTGAAGACAGAGACGGGCTGGGAGCTCTGCAGACACAAGTAATAAAAATGCTACATTTTTAAATGAATTTATCTGATACCTCATGCAATGAGGGGTCAGTTTTTCACCCAATCAGCCATTTTTGAAGCTGTTTGCAGCCATGAACTTGTGTTTGGTCACAGCTATAAACTGTTTCCTGTGGCCAGATCGGGCAAAAATTGTCACTTCTGTCTGCTTAGCTAGTGTTTTCTCTGTTACATGGAGCTCTGCACGTCTTTCAGCAGGGCTTTATCCATGCTCTCTATTCTCAGTGAAGAAGTGACTGCTGCTTTTTCCCCACCAGAAAGGTTCAATCCAAGACCCTTCATACAGAGGGAGGATCTTGCCAATCTATTTCAAGGATTCCCTCTTCTGACAGTTATTCTAGTGACTACCGTGTGTCCCAAGGCTGTGAGGACACAGAAACTCATTCTACAAGGTGTTGAATGTTATCTTTCTCAGTAGTTGAAGGTATATTTGAAGCCACAGAAAGCATTCAGCGCTGACTAAGTTAACATGGATGCTTGTTCTTCTGCCAGTTGAAAGCTAATGCCCATATTTTTATTTTTCTTGGACTATTTTAAATCTTCCCTGCTGCCACACTATGCATCCATGACTGGGTTTTCTTCTCTCTGCAGGTCTGTGCTAAGATTGAAACATCTGACACACCAAGTAAAAGGAACCAAGAAGCTGCATTGCAAGCTTTCAAGGTTCTGGGTAAGAACAGAAAGAAACTTGGAGTGAAATCATGGAAGCAGAATTTCATCTTCCTCACTCTCCTGGGGAGGTGGCTTTTCTTCCTTGTTCATTTCTTCTTATTAGCCTGATTTCTCTACCTTTAGGTGTTGTTTATCAGGAGGACATTATGGCTTTCCTCAAAAAGAAAATGGAGCGTGCTGAAGAAGTAGAGAACACTGCAGTTCTTACCATCCTAAGAGAAATTATACAAGATTGTAAGTAAGAATGGAAGTTACAGGAACAGAGCTGTCCTAGGCCTGAGGAAAATTGTTTAGCACTTGTTTATACTGGGTACATCTACATGTGCAATTAATGCACCTGAATTTTCTTCACAAAAAACTCAGGCTCATTAAACTGCTCCCAGGCAAATATCTGAATGGGTGTGTCTACACAAGACACTTTACTGTGAATGAGACAAAGCTAATGAGCAGTAAAGCGTCACCGTCAACACAGTGACTGTGCAGTAGCTTAGTCTAATGTGCTGTTTTCTAGTACCTGTACATACGGGTACTAGAACTTGGCGCGTTAAATTTATGCACCAAAGTGTATGTATAGACGCTGACCAGGAGCAAATTTCTCCCACTCAGCTTAGGCAGCAGGGGTGGGGAGAGCTGTCCTGGCTTATGAGAGACTGCCTGCCAGCCCTGGGGAGATCAGGAATAGTCCCGATCTGCCAGCCATGTGGAGATCAGGATGAGTCCTGATCTCCACATGGCTGGGGGGCAGCTGCCCAGCACCTGGGACTGCTCTCCCCCATCCCCTGGAGATCGGGACCAGCCTCTGTGCCCCCTGCTACCCCAGGGCTGGCCCTCGGGGAGCCTGCAGCTGCCCCTGGATGCTGCAGTGGGGGTAGAATAGGGCAGGAGGAGCCATAAGCTAAACTGTTTCCATCGGGAGGAAATTTGTTCCCAGTGGGTGGATGTTCAGATATGCATGGGGGCGCAATTTAAGGCACCTGAATTTTCTGCACAGAAAATTCAGGCTCATTAATTGCATGAGTAAGATGTACCCATCATGCATCTGCATCAGGAGAAAATTTGCTCCCCAGCCAGTCAGTCAGCCAGTTCAATCAGCCAGTTCTTCACTTTCATGTGCATGAAAGACACACAGGCATGAAAGGCTCATAAAAAGAAATGGATTTTCCATGCCTGCAGTCCCTGCAGACTAGACACATACTTGGCTGATTTCAGTGGAACTGTGCTGATTTCAGCTGAGGAACTTGCTCTAAATTTAAGCTCAGCATTAGAACCTTGGATGTCAATTTCCTAACAGCTTTACACACCGCATGTGGGATGCACACCACATGTGGTATCCGCCGCAGCTGGTCCATGATCCACACTTGGCTCATTGCCTACAGACGCTACATATGGTGCGGGTCTCAGGCCAGCTGGGGTGGGTTCTACACATGGCACAGCCCCAGACCAGCTGGGGCATGCACCATGCACAGAGCATGTCATGGACTGGCTGGAGTTGGCACCATGTGTGGTGCAGGTCCTGGACCAGCAAGAGGCAGCAGGATTGCTGCATGTGGAATAGGTGCCACATGAATCTTGGAGTTGGTGCTGTGGACCCTGGATCCTGGTTGGGGGCAGGTTTCATTGGACAGTCTGGCCTGTAAATGGGACCCACACCACTCATCCAGCCCGCTAGGCTAAATAAGTTTGACACCCTTGGGTTATTGGTTACCTGTGAATACACTGGGCTTAGTGGCCCAGGAGGCCTCTTCCAGGCCAGTGTATCGATAATGCAATGGTAGCATGTCTTGATGGGGTATTCTGAAATGAAGCAGTCAAAGAATATGATTGTTTCAATAACTTTGTTTGGGAAGCTAAGATGAATTAAGCCAAGCCACGAACAGGCAAGAGAGCTATAAATTTAAAAGTGTGAAGGGCTTCCTGTGATAGATTTCAATCTATCAAACCTTGTGCCTGCTTTTTTTTTTCAGCTCCCCATATGGACAAAGTAAAAAATGTCCTGGTACAGTCTGTGGCGCTCCTCATAACGGAAAACACTGAGCCGGTAAGAAAGATTCTCAGTATCTGGGAATAGACTTGCCTCAAATCTCTAGTGTGGGAAATGAATTTCACTGGCCGACAGAACTACAAGGCTACCTATGGAAAAGTCTTTGCCCCCTTGGACTGGTAGCTCTAGGATCACTGTGCTGTAGCTGTATTCTCTGATGTCTTATTAATGATTAATTGAGCCCTATTCATCTGATTAAGCAGAGCAAATTGCTTGTTTTCTTTGCTCTGTTATTAACTAAAAACACAATAGAAAGCTTAACTACGTATAAATATATAGATGAATGACTGAGTATATGTATATGTCGTATATCCTAGTGGAAGTGCAGAACTGGAGAAAGGGGAGGAAGGAGACTGTCTCTACTTCTAACATAGGACAAATTGAAGTTTAGTGATCACAAAATTGTGTCTCCTTTTCTCCTTCTCAACCAGTTTGTGGGTGGTGCTTGCCTGGAATTAAAAATGTCTTTTGCTTTGTTCATGTGAGGCTCTCCTGAAGGTGAAGAGACCTCTCTTACAGCTAATTAGAAGCTTGGGATGCTGCGGGTACCTTACCCTACCAGGAGGCAAAGTGCTTGTGGATTTCCTCATCCAACAGTGTGAGCACCTTGTCTGCACCACAGTAAGAAACAGAAAAAAGTTCCCTTTAAGTTTTAACCTCTTCCCCTTTTCCCTACCACCTCTTAACAGTTGTTGTTGCCCTCTTTCTGGTTCTTTTCAATCCCTGATGTGCTTTTCCTGCCATAGATGTCTACACTACAGTGTGCTTTCAATGTAAAGAGTGTCATACTACTATTTTCTGTCCCCTTATGCTTCAGCAACCTATGTTATTTCAGGAGCTGAAAGGGTGCTCCTGTGTTTCCATAGGGATCACATTTCCTTTTACTTTGTCCCCTCCCCCCATATCTTGTCAAACCATCATCTTTCATTGGTTAGTTCTCTTGCTTCTCTCTCTTGCACTCGCCCTTTGAATTCCTTTTTGTGCTATCCCCTTTGTTATGCTTTGTTCCTCCTCCCTCCTTCTCTTTCC